CCCGTGTTCTCTCTCTCTCTCTCTCTATCTCTCTCTCTCTCTCTCTCTCTCTCTCTCTCTCTCTCTCTCTCTCTCTCTCTCTCTCTCTCTCTCTCTCTCTCTCGCTCTCTCTCTCTCTCTCTCTCTCTCTCTCTCTCTCTCTCTTCTCTCTCTCTCTCTTCTCCTCTCTCTCTCTCTCTCTCTCTCTCTCTCTCTCTCTCTCTCTCCTCTCTCTCTCTCTCTCTCTCTCTCTCTCTCTCTCTCTCTCTCTCTCTCTCTCTCTCTCTCTCTCTCTCTCTCTCTCTCTCTCTCTCTCTCTCTCTCTCTCTCTCTTCTCCACCCCCTCTTCCCCACCCTCCCTCTCGCTCGTTCTCCTCGCGGCGCCACCGCGGGCGGACCACAAAAACTGGGTCCGTCGGCCGTCGACCGCCGCCGGACCGGACCGTGGCCGCGCTGCCGCACGCGGCGGGCCGAGCGGCGACATCACGCTGCGTGACGCGCGGCGGCGGCCGGCCCGTCATGCCGACCAGCGCCCCAGCGGTCGGTCGTCATGGCGACCAGCGCCCCAGCGGCGCTGACGCTGGGCAGGGCGGCGGTCCGGGTGCCAGCCCAGCGAGAGCTGGCCCGCAGGCTGCTTTGCGTTGCTGCTGGGTGCTTAAGCTATGTTGACGTACTGCAGGGGAGCAGGAGACTCGAAGCAGGCCTCGAGGCGTATCACCGGGGTGGAAGACAATGAATCAAATAAAATAAATAGTGGGAGTAGAAAATAGTGGAAGATGGAGCAAACGCGTGTACTCGACATCTCTCTCCCGGGTTTCTTCGATCATTTTGCTGGTTGCCTGCAGAATGTTTGGAAGTGTTCAAATGAGCTAAAACTATTCTTGACATTTTGTCCGTTTTATTCTGACAGACAGCGCAAGAACAGGACCCGCATTCGGGTGACCGGCATTGTAGCAATGCACACTACTCCGTACCTACACATGCACCACCATCCAAATTTCTAACCTAGTGCTCTCCCTCTCAGTGATGCTTCGGGATTTCTGGCATTGGTTTGACGGCCGCTTTGCGAGACCTCCTTCATTGCACTGCCCTCGTCGAACGCTGTCGTGCTGACGGTCGCCCCGGTCCTGTCCGGGACACCATTTAGCACCATGTTGTGAACGAGGACGGTTTTTCTCGGCGGAGGTGATGTGCGGGGCGTCGGGCGTTATTCATAAGCCTGACAATGGCCTGACGTTCCGCGCCTGCCGGTGGCAGCGCGGGAGATATTGGAAAACTCGAGGTGCGGCGTATCTGCCGCAAACTGTTTTGTCGCAGGCTGAATGTGTCTCGGTCCGAGTGAGTGCTTCGTGTGTGTCGCGCGCAGCGTGTTTCTATGATGTGTCGCCTGCAGACCTGAAGGCGCAATATTGCCGGCCGAGGAGTTCGTTCGAAAATTCATTTCCACACTGTCTGCCCGGGCACACATTTCGTCGTTTTTTGCGCAAAGTTTTTACGTCACCTTTCTGTCGACGCTCTGTTCAAATGGATCGCAAAAAGTTCGGAAATGAGCAGGGACCTTGAATGCAGATTTTCAGCCCGCTGTGTGCTATCGCATCACGTTGATAGACATCCCAGGGTCGCGCACGCTGGGGTGCGCCCTTCCTGTTCGCGGCCTGGCACAGCTTGACCTGACCCTTGATGTGACCTGACGGCCGACCTTCACCACCGAGCCTAACGGAACACGCCGCCCCGCAGGTGCTGCCGTTCGACGACAACCTCTGCGTGCGCGAGCCGTGCCTCAACTTCGACAAGTGTCTGACGGTGCTCAAGTTCGGCAACGCCACTGGCTTCATCCACAGCCAGAGCATCCTCTTCCGGCCCATCTACCCCGTCAGCACCTTCGCCTGCCGCTGCCCGGCGGGATTCGCCGGTGAGTAATGGCGCTCGGCGGTGGCCGCCACGGTCGGCGAGGGCGGCACGGAGGGTCTGTGGCTTGGGTGGACTCAACCGAGGAGCCCCCGGCGCCGGGAGCTGGCGATCACGATCGTAGAGGTAAGAGAGTCAACCGGCGTTTTACGTCGAGATTAGGGGATCAGGTAGCATTTACTGTCGGGCTAAGCGCGCAGCCATCGCGTCCGTCGGAAGGGATGCGCAGTTTACATCCACGATCTGAACAGAGTTGATGCGTCCCGCCCGTCGTCTGGATCACGGACCTGCGAAAAAGCAGGGAAATCGTGGAATCAGTCACGCCTTCAGCGCCTGGCCCGAGAACTGACTGTGGACGGGCGCTGGGCGTCGAGATTATCCGAAGGCCACCGTCGAAGCCAGCGCGGGATCGGCTTTCAGCAGAGACTAATGAGCACTGATCGATGGAGACAGCCGGCGCCTGGCCGGGGCTCTCGGCTCGGCCAGGGTGGCTCGTCCTCCACCCACGCCGCCTCACATAACACGAGCAACAAGCATCCCGCCCGCTCTCGCCCGGCCTCGGCGGACGAGATCTCGGGTGCGGAGAGTGAGCGCAGGCGAAAGTGAAGTGACGCAGTGGCCGAATGTATAGGCCTTTGGTTGTCGCTTACACAGAGAGAGCCGAAAGAAGACGAAGCGGTGCGGTGGAGTGTGGATGGGGGTCATGTGTAGTCACTGCCACCACACACGATTTTACAGTCGTGGAGGAAGGCTCTAATGCTCTGAGTGGGTAGATGGGGCTAACTACCAGCATATGACAATGCGATTAGCTCCTCAAATATAACGCAAGCGCTATCGCATTTTTGATGCCTCTTTTTGTTGCATATAAGTATGCTGCCAACTTGGATATAACGTACTAAGCCCTTGCCAGTCACGTAATATCCGTTTTCTTCTAACCGCCTTGATGCCAATAGATTAGGCCAACCTAAAAAACTGCAGTAACGGCTTGCTGCAGACTGGTCACGGCAAAAATCGTCCAGCCGTCAATGGTTGACTTCGTCAGCGCGCCGTTCGGCCCAGCGTGGCATAACGGCCGTTTCTCCCGGAGAAACGGCGTGACAAACGGTGTGGCGTCCCCGTGTGGCAACTGGTGCATGGCGAGGCTGTTGACTCGTGATCTCACAAAACAACGCAGCGGTTCTGTCCGCCCACCAAAGGCCCGACTGTGAATTATCGCCGGCCGCCATCCTACGCCGTCGTTTGAGGGCTCCCGCACGGCGCTGGTGCTCCAGCTGGTTAGCCGCCGACGCGGCGTCGTGCCGTCGTGTCGTTTGCTAACGACGCCGTGTGTTGTCCGGTGTTCACTGCGGGATTCATCCGCGCTGTCCTGGCGGTATTCTTGAAAAACTAACCTCACGATAACCTATGACGTGTACCATAAGCCCAATTTTAGGCTTTGCGCAATGTCCAGGTGGCGAAAATATGTACGGGAATTTGGACAAATCTCCCCCCGGTGAGATTTTCTCACCATTCTCGTGTTCCAGTCATCATATGAGCCTAATCGCGCTGTCATTGAATCTGTCCAATCGAGAACAGCTGCTTTGGAGAGTGATAAGCTCTCCGAGGCAACCCCATACGCCGTCGCCGTGTCGTTTGATCCCTAGTTCTGAACGCGGCGGTCCCGACTGCGCACGCCGGCCAGTCCGGCGGCCTGCCGCGCAGCGTTGCACTCCTGCCACGCTGATTGGGCGGCATGATTGATCTGGTGATTGGGCGGTGATAGGGACCGGTTTTTGCCACCGGTCCGCCAATGCCCGCCCATGTCAAGATGACTGATACCGTGGCCGTGCATCGCTGTGGATCTCGTAACACGTCATTAAGCTGACGGCTGCGACTGGCCGCTGTATTGCACGTTATTCACGCACCAATGATTTCTAGGTGTGCAACGTTTGGCTCATGGCTCTTTACCGCGTTTCTGTAGAAAGCTCAGTTCTGTGCAAGCGCAAGCACTGGTACACACAAAAGATTAGCACACATGCTCCGGGAGTGTCGATGCACCAATAACACAGGCCATTTGTAACATGCCGAACTTCGGCCGTTCCATTCTCAATTGCATTTTGGGAATCTTCTATTTCGATTTTATATTTATTCTCGCGCAATCATGCTAGGTGATAAATAATGATATGCTATCATAATTTTGCTTGAAATGTTTTTCCAGGTAGATATCAAGCATGGCCGCGGGGCTCAGACATTTTTGTTTTTGTCTGCGTACTGAACAATCAAAAAACATTATGAGCTCAGAGTTCTTATGAAGTCGGTCGTCAACCTTCATTATATCAGCAGGCACAGGTTGAGCGACGTTATCAATCAAGCGTGGGTCATATTGTCAATACTCGACGTTATAAAGCCATACATCATAAAACAAAACTCGAACATCCTAGACACGATACACGGTCCTGTACCCCAAGGGCTGCACGAAACTGGACCGGCCAGGCTGGAAGGGTGCGATGACCCATGCCGAGCACTAGGGCAGCTAATTACTTCCACGAACATCATAATTTACTGGCCGCACTGGCCAGCATCAAGACGCGGGGCGTCAGTGTTTGCCTGACGTTCGTAATGAGCAATTTTACAGCCTATTGCTCAGCATGGTTCCTGGTAATCTTCCGACTTAGCCACCTGTGCTCCGGCAGCCCTTGGCGTGGACCCGCGGATCGGGTGTCAGGTTATGGCAGCTCGGACGGTTTATGCTTTTGACACATTTGTGCGTCAGTGTCTGTATTAGAATCCGTGAAATTTTCTGGATTTATGTGTGTATGTTTCAAAATGTAATTGTTTTCTTAACCTTGTTTAGCCGTAATCATAACACAGCTTGAAACGTCGAGTATTGGCAATGTAACCAATGTTTGCTAGGTAATTTCGCTTGATCACAACCTCCTGGCATAATACGGGTCGACAACCGTTGATATAAAAACTCTGAACTCATACTGCCGAAAAACCTGCGTCTCAAGGCCTTTCCCTGCTTATTTGAAATCCCAAAACATGCCTGCCACTCATTAAGCCTGCGTCGTTCTTTTAACGCCGGAATAGTCGAGCGTGTTTTTGTTGCCGAAGTGTCGATGAAAGAGTTGTGAAACTGGCAGCACACGCGAGCGGCGCTCCAAACCGCGTCCCCGGCTGACAGCGTGGCTGCTGAACGTATAGCTGCGAACACAGTGCCACCATAAACCCCCGTGTGTCCGACACGCTGGTGTCTGCTCCGGCGCCTTCGTCCGCTCGCACCTGTTGACGGCTCCGGCGCGCCCTTGCTCCCCAGGGATGCGCGAGTTCTACGAGTGCGACGCCGAGGTGAACCTGTGCTACAGCCAGCCGTGCCAGAACGGCGGCACGTGTCGCCGACGCGAAGGCGGCTACACGTGCGTTTGCCCGCTGGGATATGCCGGTGAGTGCGACAGCGGTAGGGGGCGGCTACGCGTGTGTCTGCCCGCTGGGATACGCCGGTGAGCGCGACAGCGGTAGGGGGCGGCTTCACGAACGCCTGGGTCTCGCGATGGTGCTCCTCAGATCTGCGGCGAAGAGGAACGGTGCCTGTTCTGGCAGTGGCCGCTGCTTCTCTCCCGAGGTGGGCTGTTTATCTGTGGCTGCTAGTTTTTCTCAGCCGCTTAAGCGTGAGGGGTGAGGGTGAAGGGATGGGGGGGGGGGAGGCAGTGAGCATACAGTGGGAGCGGACGGGCGATTCGTTGAACGCCATTTCGCGGTGAGTGCCGATGCCCCTCGACATCCACCGCGCCTCTCACCGCGGGCGGCTCACCGCGCGAAGCGCGCTCCGTCGAGTCCAAGACTGTAGGGGCCTCACGCGGTCCCTCGGGCGGCGCGCTGGCATGTGTAATGGAATCCGACGCGCGACAGTCGCCGGCGGCGCGGATTAAGCCGGGCTCCGCCGGCTGCAGTGATGCATTATGGCCGGGGTCGCGGCGAACCAGGCGGCCGCAATTAGGAGGTCGGTGAATGTCTGCCGAACCGCGGCCGCACGCGTCGGGACGGAGCCTGATCCGGAGTGATTACGCAGAAACGTCATCTGTGACGTTCGCTGACTTGGCGATGCTGTGCTGAAAGCCATTCCTCTGTATGTTGAAATGGGACGTCTTGAAAAAGTTGTTGGGTGCTTGGTTGGTGGCAGTTTTTGGGCGTGACGGGGCTGCACGAGGTCGCTGCCTGGGACGAAATAGTGACCTCTGACACCCAGCGTGGAGCATTTTGGACCACCAGCTGATAATACTGCGAAGGCCGTATGCATCGTGTGTGTTCTGATTACCGACCACGGCCTATACACTGAGGTCTGCGCCCAACGCACTATCCACAGACTCAAGTTTCTAGTCTGAAGGGGCGTATGCGAATAGTAGCCGGGGTCACGTCCTCCCCCCCCCCCCTACCAAATTTATGGCATATGTGACTTTGTTGGTGAGTAAACGCCTGACGGTTCAAATTTATGGTGCACACGCGAGAATAAGAGAAATGAAAGTATGTCATGTTGTTCTACGAAACACAAGGAATCGCGTGCGCCTATGGCACGCCAGCTCTGTTTACAATGGTTTTTAAAATGTTTTACTCCCTTCCCACTGTGAAATCCCGCGCAAGCCCCTGCTAGTTTGATCTAACCTCACGCTGTCCCGTATTTGACATACTGGCCTCCTTACCCTGCAGCCAGAGCTGCCGACTTGTCATCTCACCGCGCTGTCCCGTGCTCACCGTTCCATCACGTCGCAGGGGCTTATCATCTCACCGCACTATGCCATGCCCATCGTGTCCCGTCCCATCGCCGGGCTTGCCATCACACCACGCTGCTCCGTGCCCACCGTTTCCCGGTGACGTCGCCGGAGCTTGCTATCTCACCACGTTGTCCCATGCCCACCGTTTCCCGGTGACGTCGCCGGCAAGAGCTGCCAATCGGACGCGATTGCACAGCACCATGCCGTGCTCAGACCGCTGCCCTCCGTGCTCGCAGGCGAGAGCTGCCAGTTTGACATGCGGCTCGGGTCGTGCCCGGCGCCGGCCGCCGAGCCGGGCGGCTCTGTGTGCCGCGGCGGCTCCGTCTGCGCAGACCTCCGGCGCGGCGGGTTCCTCTGCGACAACTGCACCACCTCGCCGTACCACACCAGCTTCTGCGAGCTCACCGCCCGCGGCTTTTCCACCGGCAGCTTCCTCACCTTCCCGGCGCTGAAGCAGCGACACCGGCTCAATATCAAGCTCAAGTAAGCCTCGGCCGCGGCGAGGGGCCGCGCTTGGCCGCATGTTCATGGAGGCAGTCATTCAGGGGCTGTTTGCTACCAGGAGGACATCGATAAAGCTTTGCTGGCGTGATGCCATACGGCTATAACGAATGTACGTGAGAGGGCTTGGCAAATTTTGAGGAATCTTGTTTGCCACGCTCACCAAAGACATAGCGGATAGGAGGCGGACGAAGGAGTCGGCCGCACCCAGTCCCCGTGAGGGCCTGTGTACTCAAAGGCTCCGCCTAAATTTACCTATGTTTTGTGAGTACTTGCTCCTGTGAGTTTTTATTTAGCAATCGTCAGTGAGTTCTGCGAGGTATCCAGAAGGGTCTGGGCCTCTGGATTGGCAACAGGCCCTCGCTGGTGTAAAATCGGACTCTTGATTGGACAAGAGAAGCGAATTTAGGGCGTCTTAAGGAAAACGGTGGCATTCGCAGGCTGCGAAGCCGCTCTGACAAACTTTCACTCGCGCTCTCATCAAAATCCTGGCTAAGTGCCTGTCACATACACACGCACACATACTTTGTCAACTGCCTTTTAAAATGACAGCAATGTTGACTATGCATTCGACGAGTCTAACTTAAATGCAAACCGTCTTTCGTAGGAAGCGATGCCAAACAGCTTTCATGTAGTGTGTAATTTGAGGCGCTGTTTGGTATATTGTCGGATGGACTGTCGACTTGTAGAGTAGACTGCTTTTTAGCGCATTAGTCAATTCGACGATCAATCCGTCAGATCGATTACGCGGCTTTTTTCTAACCCTACCGGAGGTCATTTACTAAGTCTAACGGAAAATCAATTTTGGGGCTGATCATGTGAGCGGTAAAAGATATTCTTCGGGCTCATTTGTTGTTGCTTCTTTTCTATGCTCCGAGTTTTCTCTTTACGCCGTAAAGATTATCCACAGTTTCGGCCATGACAGGGCAATGAGAAGAAATCGCGCAGCAGTCTTTGTTATGACGGGCTTACTGTAGTCCATGGCGTGACGGTCAATATTTTTTGGTTACGGAAATTTCTGTTCGTCTGATGGACAAAGGGATTTTTGGAGAAAAGCCAAATCCTTCCAACTGTTTCTAAGATAAAGCACCACGCTTCAGGAAAAAACAAAAAGAACCACGTCATTTTAGATAGCAGATGTCCTATGCTCAAAGCAACGGCATAAGCTTTCGCCTATACGTCTGGTAAGGAATTTTCGGGTTTCAGTGGCTGCCCGCAATACTCGAAAGAAAACTCAATCCAGTAAAAATGTTGGGCAGGATTTGCAGCACGCTATTTCGGAGACAGGCCAAGATTATGTTCCGATTGGTTGTCCCCAGAAAGAAATCCAATCTTCCGTTGGCCCAGACCCCACTTTCAGCGCAGCGTTCCGATCCGTCCAGTGGTTCGCTCGGGATTGAAAACGAAGTCGAAACTCGTCAGCAACGATAATTGCAGCCCTGTTGGCGTATGGGCTCTTGGAGGCATGGCCGTACACAATTGCTCGCAAACCAGACTTCCCTCTGACGTTATAGCAGCATATCCCAGGGTGAATTAATTGCTGTTACGACATGATGTACGTACGTTCAGTATACATCGCCCATATCCAGTCCACATGTGAATGTTGATTGCACAGGTCATCAACCTGTCTGCAAAAAAGTGTTAGTTAGCCTTGATACAGTGATCTGTGATTAGACTTAACGATGGGGTGGCCGGTAGACAGCTTGGGGCCGTCGAATCGATGTCGACCTCGACTGAAAGCTTCTCTCCTTTTCCGCACTCTGGCACGAAACATTTGACTCTTTCTGGACCAGCTCGGGTGTCCCCGCGCCACAGCCGACCATGGCCACACCCCGTAACCCGGCTGATGACCTCGTGACCTCGTGACAGTCGTGAGCCGCTCGTGACCCGGCGCGCTGCGCCACAGGTTCGCCACACGCTCCCGCAACGGCCTGCTGCTCTACAACGGCCGCTACAACGAGCGGCACGACTTCATAGCGCTCGAGGTGGTGGACGGCGACGTGCGCTTCTCCTTCAGCGTCGGCAACGGCGCCACCCACGTCACGGGCCGCGTGGAGGGGGGCGTCAGCGACGGCGGCTGGCACCAGGTCGAGGTCAACTACCACAACCGGGTACGTGCGCCGACGTCCGATGATTCCTTCACAGTCGGCATGGTCGGATGCCGGTGTCAGGGCAGGAGTCCGTTGATGGGCTCTGGTTGGAGTGCGGCGGTTTCGATTCAAAGTCATAAATCCATGTCACTTTTCAGATTTTTGAAGACTGCTTCTCGGGTTGGGAAACGCACTAATGAAAGCAAGCGAAAGCCGAGTGCAAGGTTATTCTAAATTACGCCGAAATATCTGTGTCTTTGCAGCTTCCTGGAAGATCTCTTGGAGGGCAGCGTTATTATCTCTCTCTCTTCCCGGGCTCAAACCAAATCCTCCTTAATCTGTGCGATGGTACATATGAACAGACGTGGAGGGTAACTTCCTCCCGACACTTTCGACTGACCCCTTATCCCGACACCTTTCCGGTGGGAGCATCGACGCATGAAGACCAAGCAGCGGCGAAAGCCCGAGGAGTCGTGGGCGTTGAGGCGTGCCCGTTTAATCAGCAGCCTCTGAATGTAGAGCCTTTGCGGGTCACATATGCTCTTAAAACCGATGGCCGTGCCAACCAGCCAATCAAAGTGGCGCCATAAAAACTTGACGCTTTTCATCATCGTTCACCGGGACACCGATTAGCGCTGATTGACCTCGCGGCAAAAAGCTTATGGTCGAGCTGCTTCAATCGGGGCCCGTTCTCCACCCTGCACTCATCCTGTGTCGTCGCTAAGAAAGACGACCGAAGCATACCGAAGCTTGCTCTAAATTTTCACTCAATGGACGCAGATCTGCACCGAGAAGGGTTTCAAATGAAAAGCGATTTGCGACATTTACCTTTCAGCATTTGTATGCTGTACTTTCAGCGCCTATCATTGATGTAGCATGACGCCCGCCTGTCAAAAGTGTCGGAAAAGATCACCACAAAATCACGTGCACGTTTGGACTTCGCACACGCAGAATGAGACAGCACGACAAAACACGTAACTACACTGTGGACAAAACCTCCTCACCCTGGTCAAAAGTGGGTTCGTGTTGAGTGGGAGGGGAGGGAAGCGATCGCGCCTGTGTGGGCTCGAGTCGCAGCCGACTGGCGTCTGTGTTGGCAGTTGGGACCAGGGCTGAGCGGATGACGTCCTTACACGGCTGTGATATTGACAGTACTTAAATCCTCTGAATCGCTGTGTAAATAAAACGTAACAGGAATGAAAGCAATTAATTTCCGATCGATTTTATGGACGAGATGTGAATAAGGCGTGTAAGTGCTATCTTACTTGCTGAAGGATGTACAAATATTCTCAAGCCACGACTCATGAGTCGCAGTCGTAATCTCTTACGTTTGTGAGGTGAGTGATTACGTGCAATGTATGCAGACGCTATCGGAAGCCCTCAGGATCGGTGTCAGGTCCCGTGGCGACAGTGACCGCCGCCGCCGCCGCCTGCGGGCAGCCAGCTGGGCGCTCGGCGTCGGCGCATTATCGGATCACGTGACTGTCCTCAGACGGCCACCATCGTCATGGACGGCTGCGACAGAGGCCTGGCGCTGAAGTCGGCGCCCGGCCTGGCCGACTACCGCTGCGCCAACCGCACCACCATGCAGCTGGAGCACAGGTCGGTGGCGGCGACGCCGTCGTGGAGAGCTGAGCCGAGCCCGCCGTTACACGGGGCGCAGCGTCTGAGATCGGCTCGAGAGGATGGGCGACAGACCGGAACGTCTTGGCGGTGGCTTTGCGCTGAATATGCATTGCGAGCGACACTCTCACAACACTTCCCTATGAGTGCTCTTATGAGAGTTTATGAGTTTCCAGGGTGTTTAGTGCCGTCAGTCCGGTTGTATTCGCTGAATTCAATTCAGACCTTGCTTTGGTTGATGGATAGGCTCAAGATGTTGGGATGAGGATATCAAAATGCGTCTGAAGATCCTAGGAAACGCTGCAAAGTCGTACGTGTCAGAATCTTGACGGGATAAAAAGATGGTATGTCGTGTACGCGCTTACTATGTCGCCTAGATCAACAATGTCCCTAGGGGAGCCGACCAGACGCTCCCATGTGCCTGGTGTGTACAGGTGCGCTCACCTCAAGGAGTGGTGCCAGCGGTTCGTGGACCTGACGGGTCCGCTGCAGATCGGCGGCCTGCCGTCGCTGCCTACCAAGTTCCAGGTCCGCTCACAGCACTTCACTGGCTGCATCCGCGACCTCTTCATCGACTACAAGCTGCTGGACCTCAACCGGTGAGTGGGGTGACGCGCGCGGCTGACGCCCGAGTGGCTGTGAAGGCGCAGTCCACTCATGTTTTGCGGTGGTTGGAGTGGGAAATATGGATTAGATGCTCTCGTAGTGTTGCAGAAGGCTCTCCGTGCAGCTGACGTGCGCGCAAGGAATACGGATACGGTGTTTGTAATAAGTACACCTCTAATTTGCCAGTTGTGCTCTTCTCTAAGGCAGCTCCTTGATATCAGTTGCAGCAAAATAGATAAATAAACAAATAAATAAGGTACTGTCACTCTGTGCTGCTGATACGCCTGTCTTGCGGGGAAGATTCCTGCAAAACTTCGTCCATTGAACAGCAAACTAATTACACAAAACGTTTAACTACTTTGCGTTTTAAAATAACTGAGTATCCTAGTTTTTAGCTAGAATCTCTTGCACTGTAGGAGCTCTTGCGATGTTACTTTTTTCTATAAGCTTGTACGGATACAATCCAGGTTGTTTTGCGGTGCTACAAACCCGGCCTAAAAAACTGCGACAGCTCCTTAAATCGACCCCGAGCTGGTCAGCAGGATGTTTACAGCCGTGCTTCTCAGCGCGGCACTTGTTATTACTTTTCTGTCCGTGCAGGTACGTGGCCAATAACAACACGGTGGCCGGCTGTTCGGAGAAGCAGGAGTTCTGCATGTCCAGGCCCTGCCAGAACGGTGGCACGTGCACAGAGGGCTGGGGCACCTACGTCTGCCGCTGCCCGGACGGCTACGGCGGCAAAGACTGCGGAGAGAGTAAGTCCAGTATGACCGGACGAAAACCTGCAGAAGAAGTGGCACTGACAGTAGCGCCGATTAACGTGCTCACTACCCCAATACACTGATCCACATTTTCCGGCGTCGCTGATTTGCAGCGTAGATCGTTCCAGCATTCAGGTCTCGTAAAATGTGTGCAGCGAAACATCGTCGCGTAGGGTATGTGAGATGAGCACCTCCCTTAGAAGGTGCGAGGCGGCGTCGCCTCTTCCAAGCTACCCGATCGCCTGTAGCCGCACGTGTGTGAAGCCACGCCGGTGTGTGACACTGCATTGTCTTCCCGCGAGGACCGCTGTCACGTGCTCGGCTTCTCCTCCGCAGCAACCGAGCTACCGCGGCGTCTGCAGGGTGATGGTTACGTGGCGTACGTCGGTCGCATCGAGGCCGTGGAGATGCCCTGGTTCAGCAGCCTCTCGTTCCGCACGCGCGCGCCGGACGGCCTGCTGATGAGGCTCAGCTTTGGCGGCGGACTCATTACCCGCCTGCTGGTGAGTCGGTGACTCCGTACCCGGCTGCTGGTGGGTCAGTGACTCGATACCCGGCTGCTGGTGAGTCAGCGACTCGGTGCCCGCCCACTGGTGAGTCGGTGACTCGATACCCGGTTGCTGGTGAGCCAGTGACTCGGTACTCGGATCCTGGTGAGTCAGTGACTCGGTGCCCGGCTGCTGGTGAGCCAGTGACTCGGTACCCGGCTGCTGGTAAGCCAGTGACTCGGTACTCGGCTGTTGATGAGTCACCGGTATCGGCGCGCACCCACTGCTGAGCCAGTCACCTCGAAACCCGCCCGGCGGTGGCTCGCCGACTCAGCGCCCATCTGCTGTGAATCACTGATGTCGGTGCCGCCTGGTGGTGAATCACTGACCTTGATGTTCTCTTGACGCTAACTCACTTGCATCGAAAACTTTTGGTTGTAGCTTCGTCACGTATGACAGCGGTTTGAAGTCAGTTAAGCTTGTTGTCGGCGTTGGCTACGAGGTAATGGTTATTCCAGTAAACGGAACACTGAACGCTTTCGAGGACTGGCCCACATCTCTAACTGCAAATGTACTGCGCGTCTGTTTTCTGTACACGCCCCTCCCCTCTCCCCTCCCACTCCTCTCCACACCATGTATTACATATCGTGTGCAGTTTTTTCGCGCAGTGTCTGGTATGGCCGACACAATACTCATTTACTCGTGATCCTCAGATCCGTTCCGGGTATATCGAGTACCATTATCACTCGGAGGTGCTTGTCCTGGACACTGTGCAAGTTAGTGACGGTCGCTGGCACCACGTACAGATCAAGTGGATGAAGGACGAGGTCTGGATCAATCTCGGTAAGCCACCAATCAAGGAGCTCCAGTGCCCGGAATTCCCGTGCGTGTGTTTGTAGGCTCACCATGTAAGCACGGCACCGAAGGGGGCTTATGCTTCGAGTGTGTTTTCTATGTCTCTGGCGATAGAAGCCTAAGCAGACCGGGGACATTCGTGCAGTGAGACCAACAGGAAGGAAAAACGCTTGCTTGGAATGTTTTTTTGCGAAAATATTTAAAAAGGGCTGTATCCAGACAAACGCGGCTTATCTGTCCTATGTCGCTGCTAGGCCTGCACTGACTGCTAAAGGACTCGCGGCAGTCTGACAGACCGCAGACCATGGACGGCTGCGATCAGAAAGGTCCAAGTCGTCTCTGTTTGGTTAGATCTTGGCGACCGACCCTGTCCGTGGTGTTTCAGACTACGGCAACCACGAGCTGACCCGGCCTGGGGACGCCCAGCTCGCCGGCCTGTACGTGGACGAGGTCACAGTCGGAGGCGCCCCCGGCGAGGACAGCGACGTGGCCGGCTTTACGGGCTGTCTCAGGGTAACTAGCGCAGCACGTGCCACCCGTGCCGGCTGTGGAACTGCGACAAACGAAGCCGCCCAGGGGATGGGCAGCAGGCCGACGGCGTGTAGACATCAGGAGAAATGTTGAACTGCACTTACAGTAGACATCACGTGCGTCATGCTGGTGCTAGGCTTCTAGTGCTGCGCAACATTGATTTGCTTTGGGTTTTAGCCTTTTTGGGACCTTTCATTGGGCGTGCTCTCAAGTTACGAGTGCTGACCTTCGGAATGAACCGACCAGGGATATCGTTCCAAACGTTATAAGTTTGGCGAGCCCACTCACATTAACATCCGTACGCAGGACGTGCGCGTCGGCAACACCCCGAACTCGACCCTGTTCATCGAGGACGACAGCCGAGCCATCAGCGGCTGCTCGCTCACGAGCCGGTGCGAGTCGGCCACGTGTCCCGAGCACAGCACGTGCCTCGACACGTGGGCCCACCACGAGTGTGTGTGTCAACCAGGTGAGGCGGCGTCCTGCAGGGGCTTTGATCACTGGTCAGCGAAGTGTGGACAGTCGCAGTGAGCTGTGTTGCTTTTATGGACGTACCTCGCACGGTAGAACTACGAAAACGGATGTTGTTTGTTGTCATCATTGAGTCGTCACAAGGTTGCATAATCTTGTTCTGTAAATGCCGGGCGGAGAACTTTGTCATTAATGTTCTCATTGTCATTTACTGCGTGTGCTTTGCTGCAGGTTTCGTGGGAAAGCAGTGTCAGCACGTGTGCCAGCTGCAGCCGTGCCAAAACAACGCCACGTGCAGCATGGACGCGAGCGACCCGCGGGGCTACCAGTGTCGCTGCACCTCCGAGCTGACCTACGGTGTGTCTTGTCCCATGCCATGCTGGCGAGGTGACTCCCTGTTCTCTCCGCACCCGCACCGATGAGGGGGGGGGGGCACCCCGTCCTTTCCCCAGCCGCGCCGGCCGGGTGGCGCCCTATCTTCACCCCAGCTGCGCCGGCAGGGTCGCGCACTGTCCTCCTCGTGCCGCGCCGTCGGCTCACGCATGTGCCTTTTTGATGCGGCCCCGCTCCTGCGGTGGAGAGTGACGCGGGTTTTCGTGAACTGATGACGACACCACTGGCTATCGTTTTGACTGCGGAGTCGCACAGCAACGCCCAAACTTCACACACCGAGACAGGAAGGGCGCGAGCGATGCCGAGGTGCGCCGGTTCGTCCGTGTTAATGGTTTGATCCCTGCTCACCTCAGGTCCGTACTGTGAGTCGGAGATCGCGCAGCCGTGCCCTAGCAAGTGGTGGGGTTACCCGGTGTGCGGCCCCTGTGACTGTGACACCGAGAAGGGCTACGACAGCGACTGCCACAAGAAGACCGGCCAGTGTCGGTGCAAGGTATCAGACTGCGTGCCATGCCGAACCATGCCAGACCTGCATGCCAAAAGTCCATTAGGTCGAGCTGTATTCCGAACCCTTGTGCTCCATTGTGAACATCCTGTGAATTTGATCGCTGTACGACTTGACGAACTCGGTCACGAACGACGAACTCGCATGAATTGGGAACCCCAGCCTGGGTGCAATTTCTGGATTGACTCGCGCCTGACGCTCCTGAGAAGCAAGCTGAGTCGGGAGCTTCCGGAGCTGGAGCTTCCGTCGCTGGAACGTGACTGATGAGTGTTACGACACGACAAACACGACACGACACGCCAAACACGAGCACGACATGCCAAACACGAGCGAGGCTGAACACGCCACCTACACGCCACGTATCTCTGGGTGTTGATCCACCGCCTTCCCCGCCCCCCTCCCCCTGCTGACCGGTCGTCAGCGACTGGACCCAGCTAACGCAGCCCAGCCGCAGCAGTTGGACTTCCTTGACTCGGTTGGTGACAGCGTTGCCACGGCCAGCTACCATCTTTAGAGCTCCACGGAGCCCCTCCCCCGTCAGGAACGCTTCGATGGCAGTCATCGCAGCTTTGCGAATTCATCTCGGACGGAATAGTGATCGATGAACTTTACATGCCGGAACTTTTCGGGGGCTCAATTGTCGCGGAAACTTCGTTTCGAGCGGCTTTGCCGGAAATTGGTGTAATACTGGGCCAAACTTCACACTCACAGAATTCAATCAGGCAGGCAACTCACCTCAGCATGTCATCTCGCGTCTCATTTTGAACCATGTTCTAGAGCGATAAGAGAGACTTCTCAGAAATTCCTTCCGACATCGATCCCCATCATGCTACGCCGGGCTATTGTTTGAAATTGTCTATCGTCGACACTCGAACGCTCGCATTTGCTAGTGTGCTGTCTTATCAATGAACGACGCTCACGAGCTATCTTTAAGTTTATCTGCATCTCTTAAGGTATGCTGTTACGCTTGCGGTGCATGCTTGGTTCAACGAAGCCTGTTTGTCACCAACCGGCCATATGTCGGTGATCTGTGCATCTTTGCGTGTTCAGGATACGCTTGCGCTGTTCAGGATAGCCTTTGTCATTACAGAATCTGCATGTTTCGAAACATTCTGGATGTTTTGATTGATCGCCATCGTAAAGCAGGCTACAGTCGTGTCAGACGGCGTCCCACGCGTTCGGCCATCCGTAGCATGGCGGCCGTCCGTTACTGGGCCGGTGGGGTTATACCGAAGGTCGGGCTCCAAGCTCGCCCCCTACACCAGTCTCACTGATCGTCCTCCCACTGGTGGGACTGCCGATCGGCGGTCCCACCAGTGCCCCTCCCGCTCCTGCCGCCAGCGGTCCCACTGACCGGCACTGCCCTCCGCCAGGCGAACCACTTCCGTCCGCCGGGCTCGGACACGTGCTACCCGTGTGGCTGCTACGGCACGGGCAGCGCCGGCCGCGCCTGCGACCCGCTCACCGGCCAGTGCCCCTGCAAGAACGGTGTCATCGGCCGCCGCTGCGACGCCTGCAGCCATCCGTTCGCAGAGGTGGGCGGCGGCCGAGGTCGGGACGCGAGGCGAGGCGAGGCTTTGTTGGCATCGATCAGTTATTGATCAATTCTTCTTTTCACGTAGGGACTCCTCGGTGCTGGAGTGATAATTAATACAAAAGCCCCCATGTTATCTGTACTGTTTGCTTAGCTTCGCGATTCCTCTTGTGTTATTTGTCTATCGATTTGTGTTCCAGCCTGCAGCTGATTATTTCCACCGTATTCAAGTACGTCGCCCATTTTCAAACGTCCTCGGCGTCGTCGGTTGTTGACGCTGCGCCCACACCGTCCGCCGCAGGTGACGAGCCGGGGCTGCGAGGTCGTGTACACCGGCTGCCCGCGCATGCACGTGGCCGGCGTTCTTTGGGAGCAGACCGAGTTCGACAAGACGGCCGTGCAGGAGTGCCCCGAGGGCGCCGAGGGTCAGGCTCGCCGCGCCTGCGACCGCGAGACGGGCTGGGCCGAGCCAGACCTCAGCGAGTGCCTCAGCGTCGGGCTCAAGCAGCAGGAGTACCTGGTGAGAGCGCGGCGGCGGGGCCCGCCAGCGGCTGCCTGTCTGGCGTGGGGTTAGCGGTGGGTCATTGTAGCGTTGTGGCTGAGGAACTGCTACATGTTAACGTGGCCTCTGCTTTGGTGCAGCCCGTGCGAATACGATGAATTCAGGACGCGATCATTGCTTAATGCGTTTGCGTTGGAACGGATGCGTCGAACGTCTTCGTACGTTGCGTTGTGCGTTGGAGTCGGATGCGTCTTTGTGCGTTGCATCGGCACGCACACAACACACAACACACAGCATCGGCGGCTACAGCCACACACAGCTACAGCTCGCACGGAGCTCTTCGCTCCAGCTCTCACTCGGGCGGACTATTATCAGACGTATTACATATATATATATATATATATATATATATATATATATATATATATATATATATTGCTCTGACCCATATTTGACCCCGGGCCTGGTCACGGCTTGTTCCTTCAGATGTCTGACCTGCCCTGACTCCGTTAGGTGGGGAGTCTGATGGCGAGCGAGCTCAGCTTCACCCCGTTCCTCTCCGTGTCGACGGCCGCCGACCTGCTAGCCGCCGCTCGCTCAACCGACAACCTCTATGCCACCGACATCTACTACATCTACAAGCTGGTGCGCCTGCTGCTGCAGTACGAGAACAACGAGGCCGGCCTCAACCTGTCCCACCGGCAGGACAAGAACTTCATACCGGTCAGTGGTGGTCGCAGACTGTGCCAGGCCCGTGCCAGGCAGGGATGCTCTCCACCAGCCTCAGGGCTGGAAACGGTAGTCAGACGTCAGCTAGCCCTGTGTGGTAGACTAGTTATGTGCCGATAACTGTTCGTTTAGTGGTGACTTGAGTACCGGCAGCGAAATATTCTCAGTCACCCGCGAAGTTAAACGTAAACGCCGCTGACCAACACTTTAACCAGGAGACCGATATGCATTTTTCGTGGCATTTGTGGCGTGCAGAAATCGTAGTCCACCATTGGCAACAGATGACTGTTGAAAAATGAATGAGCCAGATGCATCAGCCTCAAAGATGGCTCAACGGTAATTGCCGTTATTCGCGTTTCTGCAGGTTTCATAATTTTGACAAACATGTGTTTTCAATCCGTCGGAACTTTGCATTTTTCAATATCATTCTTGCAGTGATACATCGTGGTATACTCCTACCATGACTGAGTAGGAACATAACTGGCTCCCTTAACATTTGCAGAATATTCTCGGTGCCACGAGTATAATTCTTCAGCCCAAATATAAGCGGCACTGGGAGAAAATTCACAGCCAACTGAAGGAAGGTGCCAGCAACCTCCTTCAAGACTTCGACCAGTATGCGTACACGCTGGTGAAGACGCAGCGAGACACGTTCACGGATCCTATGGAGATTGCTACGGACAACGTCGGTAAGATTTCCATGAGCGTTCACCATAGATTACCAAAGGAGCAAGGGTCTGCACAGACTCACAAAGTAGAGTATACAGTGGCGTAACGACATCGTTTATCACTGCGTTTACATACGAGCTACGGGTGCTCGGTAACCGGCCCACGTTGTACGCTTAAGTTCCGGGTTACTTGCCATCGCGCGAACGGAGGTTACTTGCCCGCTGTGACGGGGGTGGCTCCAACTCCCCTCGTTCAGACTAGACTGCGCTGGCGGGGCCTGCCGTGTGTACCTCTCCCCGCCTCTGTCACACTGACCTCTCCCCTCCGCGTCACAGTGCTGGGTCTGGACACGGTCAGCTGGCGGGAGCTGCACGGCTCGGCATCTGATGGTCGGGTGGACCTGCCGGAGCAGCTCGCCTTCCTCGAGCGCAGCCCGGCGCCCGGGATGGGCTCGGCCGTCGTGCTGCCCAAGCACAATAACTACCCGCGCAGCCGCGTCACCTGGGACGACCACAACGCCGTGCTGCTGCCGCTCTCGCTGCTCGGCATCGACGCGCTCGGGCCGGGCGAGACTGCCGGCCGGCCGGCCGACCAGCGCGCCGCCGTCGGATATGTGCTGTTCCGCTCGCTGGCCGCGCTGCTGCCGGCCGAGTACGGCGACGACGTGCGCCTGCGCTGGGGCGTCGGCGTCAGCGCGCGCAGCGCGGCGCTGGCGCTGGCCGTCAACACGGCCGACGGCGTGCTGCGCGGCGACACGGCAGTGCCGGTGCGGCTGCAGCTGCGCACCGATCGACTCTCGGCCAAGAGCAACCCGCAGTGTGTGCGCTGGCAGCACAACGTCGAGTGAGTGTGCCGGCCGGCCGGAGGCGGGGGTCGAGCTGGGGCTTGACGAGGTGGGATGGGAGGGAGCGCTGCGTTGGAGCGTTTGGGTGTTTTTTAAGTGCTCTTGGTACAGTGGCCTGAATGCAAAACCGATCCCGGTGTGAAGGTCCATTGTGATTCTCAGCGTGATCCCGGTGTGGAGGTCCATTGTGCTCCTCAGCGTGATCCCGGTGTGGAGGTCCATTGTGGTCCTCAGCGTGATCCCGGTGTGAAGGTCCATTGTGATTCTCAGCGTGATCACCAGCTTGTGCGACCAGCTTAGCTTACGCCCACGCATCAGCCTCGTGTTACATACTCGGTGGTCGGCGGCGACGAGCGTGTGTATTCAAGTCTGTACATGCCGACGCTCGCCGGTTTGCCATGACTTCACGCTGCCTGACGTCTTGCTGCAGCGGCTCGGGCTACTGGACCCGCCAGGGCTGCAAGACCGAGTACATGGAGCCGTGGCAGTACCAGGGCAACTTCACCTACGTCAACTGCACCTGCTCCCACCTCTCCAGCTTCGCCGTGCTCATGGATGACCCATCCGCCGAGGTAAGGCTGGGACTCTGGCTGTCGTGGAGGTGGCTGTCTTACGCTAAAATTAGGGCTGCTTTTAGCTGCATTTAGCTATATAGTCTAAGGCCCGATGATTTGACAGCTGCCATCGGCGAGTTGCCATTTTCGACCCCACTTCTCTACTTGTTCTACAGCCAAACTTTTTGCTTCGGCCATCGTTTCGGCGGCTGCTCTGTTTCCGGCGTCGGATGTTTCCGGCGTGGTCTGTGAGTGACCAGCCACTCTCCTCCGCAGTTCCTGATCGAGACGTCACCAGCGGAGAACATCGTCACATACATCGGCCTGCTGGCCTCGATCGTGTTGCTGCTGCTAAGCTTCCTCATTTTCTGCCTGCTGCGCGGCGGCCTGCAGACAAACTCAAACAGCATTCACAAGAACCTGGCCTTCTGCCTGTTCGCCGCCCAGCTCATCTTCCTCACGGCGCTCAAGCTGCGCCAGCTGCTGATCGTACAGGAGGTGGGTGCTGCGCTCTGGCGGAACGGTGGCGAACTTGCAGCAACCGGCTGCATAAGCGGAGCGCTGGCAGTACCATCAAAACGATAAGGCTTGAAGGGTAATCTTGTCTTTTCAACTGAGAATTCATGACGTGACTATCTGAGATGCTGCATGATAATTTGCAGTCTGCGCATCCAAAGATTCCAAATCACCCTTGTCACACTGCTATCGGTATTTGTCTACAAACAATGACAACACTACGCAAGTGCGTTTGGAAACAAGTGAGCCTGACCGCCCAGTTGTGTGTGATCTACCATGCTTCTTCGTAACGTCAAACATGGTCTACCCCTCCCCAGTTCCCGTGCAAGATGGTGGCCATCCTGCTGCACTACTTGTGGTTGTCGGCCTTCTGCTGGCTGCTGCTCGAGTCGGTACACGTGCACCGTATGCTGACCGAGATGCGGGACGTGAACCACGGCACCATGCGCTTTTACTACTCCCTCGGCTACGGCGTGCCGGCCATCATCGTCGGTCTGGCCGTCGGGGTGCGCGCAGACCAGTACGGTAGGTGTCCGATCACGCGGAGACGGTCGACATCGTTGAGGCATGTTAATGACCGGTTTGGTGGGGTCACCGTCAGCAGAGGACGCCCCGGACCCGTTTTGCCATAGTTTGCTGTCAGGTTCAGTGTTGTACGCATCAGTACGGTACATTTGTTATAAAAGCGTTGCGTTTCCGATCAGTACGGTACGTTCAGTATCGGTGGTAATTATGGATAGCGTAGACAGCATGGATCAGCTTGGTATGTTCCGAATCAGTTTGGTATTTTCACAGTAGGTTTACTTCCTCGTCACGACTGACGTACGAGAATGCTGTTCCTGAGGGCACGTGCCACCGTTCGTTGACCGTAAAGCTCAGATGTGAGTACAAATTCTAAAACAGCATATCACCCGCACTGGTGAGTGGCATGTGTAGAAGCCACTGACTAGACTAATCCTCGATAACTCTCAACATCGTCTCATTTTCCCGACGGTCGTTTATGTTTTTCTTTCAGGCAACATCTACTTTTGCTGGCTGTCGATCCACGAGTCGGTCATCTGGGCCATGGTCGGTCCCGTCTTCGTCCTGGTCACCGCCACGCTGGTCAACTTTGTCCTCGCCATCCGAGCCTCGCTGTCTCTCAAGGACCACGTGGAGGGATTCGGGAACCTCAGGTCAATATCCAGCTTCGATACGGCATGGTGGAGTGGAAAGCATGACCGGACGTTGAGGCCCAGCCTGTGAACGTTTCGTATTGACCGGTAAATTGGAAGTCGATGATTGGGTGCCTATGCATTGCAATGACATAAGTTTGACGATCTCGGAACGAGTGGTAATTTTGGTCCTTCGATAGGAGTTTAACTTATAAATGGCTCATCACCACTGGCGATTAACGCGCCAGTTTTGCCTCGTGCAGGCGGACCACCCAGTGAGTAGCTTGGGAGGGGGACACTGCAGTCTCGGTCCTCCCGCTGCTGACCTGCCGTCACCACTTCAGGACGCAGCTCCGACCGTGCTTGGCCGTGACGCGCCGTGCGTCCGTTTCAGGACGCTTCTCTGGCTGGCCGTGACGCTGCTGCCGCTGATGGGCGCCGTCTGGGTGCTGGCCGTGCTCTCCGTCAGCGAGGAGATGGAGGTGCTCAACTACCTGCTGGCCGCCTTCTCACTGCTGCTGGGCCTGTTCGTGCTGCTCGGCTACTGCCTGCTCAACCGGCGCGTGCGCCAGGGCACGATGCGCAGTCTGGCCCTCTGCTGCGGCCGCAAGCTCGCCTACGACGAGAGCCTTAGCGGCACGCGCACCACCATGGCGTCGCGCTCGGCGCTCTCCTACCACCACGACGACATCCTGCGCAGGAACGTCGGCATCTCCACCTCGTCCACCACCAGCCGCTCCACCTGCAAGACGTCCAGCAGCCCGTACAGCATGGGCATCAACGCGCCGAGCACCACCTCCAACAGCCAGCCGGCCTCCAGCCTCAACGACCTTCGGCCGAGCGGTTCGCGGCGCAGCAAAGGTAGGGCAGACGGTGTTCTGCGGCGGAGAGGGTAGCCGGGCGGGTGGCGCGCGCCACGGGTGGTGCGCCGGTCCTGACCGTGGCTAAAAATCTGGCTGCTACCGTTTCACGGGAGAATGATCCTTGGTAAGGGACTTTGATAGTGGTACGGCAAGGATACACGTTGGGCGCTTTACCTACCGCTACCGTGATGCTCAGAAGTCAGCGCCTTCGTCATAGCTTAGGATACCGTATTCAAAAGCAGCATAACTATCACCGCTTACGTAAGTAACGTAACGTCCGCACTTAAGGTCCTTCAATGCCTCTGGTAAATTAGCTCCGACAAATATCGCGACCATGGACAATCCATGCCGTGGCCATTGAAAATCCATGTCGTGGCCATGGGCGTGTTGAAACCCGAGCCGACCTCTGTCGTGACCGGCAGGCCGCCGCGTCCACCGCTCGCGACGGGAGTCTGACTCGGAGTCGGACGACTCGGTGGCCAGGCGCAGCCTGTCTCTGGCCTCGAGTCACAGCAGCGACGAGGAGGAGATGGCGAACGGGGCAGCGCCCCAGCTGCGGGTGGAGGAGCGCGGCCACCCCGGCCAGAGCGGACAGCGTGAGTGTTGTGACTTCGGCCCTCAGGGGTCAGCCCGATAATGTGCGGCGTACTAGCACGGGTGGCGGTTCTGGTGTCGTAAACCAAACTCGATCTGCAAGACGAGGATGGTGGTTGCGGTTGCTGGCTTGTATGGGACGTGTGGCTGGTGAAGGTTTCTGGTCGCCCAGCGACTGTCATCTCAGATACGACAGATGTCCTGTTGCTTATCTGTGGACGCGGTGCAGGGACACTGTCCTTTTTTGTGCCGGTGTTGTGGTGACAGAATCGAGCTTGTCTCCCTTCGTACCCGCTTTCCCCGCCGTGTCTGACTGAGCTGAATGGGCAACAACCAAGGCTCTGCCATGGCTTCCAACTAACTAACGTGGCCAGTTTTCTGTTGCACAGTCTAACGGCCTGTCTGACTTCTTCCCCCCCCCCTCCTGGTAACGGGCCCCTCTCACCACCTTCCTTCCTAGCTGAAGAACATATACTGCGCATCAACTGTAGCACCTGCGCGGCCCAGGCTTCTTTCCTCCATGCAGTGCCCGAGTCATCACCCCATCCTGCGGCCTGTCCTCTTGACGTGACCTATGACCCGGCTATTCTAACTGTGCCGGCGGTGTCGCTTCCCTGACATCCGTTCTGACCCTCTCAAGGGCCCGTGCGCTGCTCAGCCGGTCTGCGGCGTCACCTCTCCGACGGTCTCCCTCTGCCGCTGACCCGTCTTTGACCCGGCCCGTGATGGCCTCCCTGACCTCTATCCGGACCCGGCTGACGGTGCGCGCGCGCCTGACCTGGGCCCGCAGGCCGCGCGCGGCGCGTCTCGTATGAGCCGAATATTCGCGGCTCGCCGCCGCCGCCGGCGCCCGACGACGAGCACATCTACCAGGAGGCGCTGGGCCTGACCGAGCAGATGGACATCCGCTCGCCGGGCTCGTCGGCCTACTGCGCCCCCTGGAGCGCCCGCACGCCCACCGACTACCCCACCTACCCCCGATACACGCTAGGTAGCGGCCCGGCTGGAGAGGGCTGGCGGCCGTCGGACGGGTGTGGTCCCCTCGGCCGTGTGGTCCCGCACGGCTGGCGGCCGTCGGACGGGTGTGGTCCCCTCGGCCGTGTGGTCCCGCACGGCTGGCGGCCGTTGGACGGGTGTGGTCCCCTCGGCCGTGTGGTCCCGCACGGCTGGCGGCCGTCGGGAGGGTGTGGTCTCCTCGGCCGTGTGGTCCCGCACGGCTGGCGGCCGTCGGGCGGGTGTGGTCCCCTCGGCTGTGTGGTCTCGCACGGCTGGCGGCCGTCGGATGGGTGTGGTCCCCTCGGCCGCGTGGTCCCGCACGGCTGGCGGCCGTTGGACGGGTGTGGTCCCCTCGGCTGTGTGGTCCCGCACGGCTGGCGGCCGTTGGACGGGTGTGGTCCCCTCGGCCGTGTGGTTCCGCGCTGCATGGGTGACGGCAGAGGCAGTGCATGCACGCAAAGGCAGTGAGAGTTTGTGCGGGCTGCGAGGGTTGTGGTAGCAGCTACTAACAGCACCGGCTTCCCGGCTTCATTTTGTGGCTCTGCAATGTTGTGACCTTGGCGCAGCTGCATGTAATGACGTCATGAAGCCCATGGTCCGGATGGACGTGAATGGCTTGGCCTCCAGTTGGTCGGTGTTTTCGTCCCGCGGCAATTTTTTTCATTTCTGGCGGATGGTCTGGCGTACAGTATTAGTCCTAGAGCCAGCATACATTTGACAGCTTTATGCACCGAATGTCATTGGTTTTGCCTTTGCCACAGCGATCTTTGTTGACTGGCTCATTTTGCGTCACGCAATATCTGTTGTAAGTTTTGTTTTAGAGGGAGCTCCCTGCTCCATCGGGAATGTCATCGCGACTAAATAATTTTCGTGTTATTTGATATTGGGATTGGTCTTGTAGTAGCTCATCGCGTTCGTGGGCTGCTGGTGATTATCTGGAGATATGCATTATTACAATTTCAAACATACATCGAAGCTGGATGCGATAAGTCGTTTAAGTGCTTGGCCATAAACAGTGCATACATTAACGCTGTCTCAGTGCCCATTCCATGGGGGGGGGGGGGGGGGGGGACATTAATGAGATGGTTCCGACGGAAGCAGTGACATACGGAACGTAGAATATTTCTGTTCCCTATACCCACTGACCTGCTCACACGATGCCCTTGTCTTGTGGGCTCGACACCGCTCGCGCGACCGTCTCACTCGGCTCACCCTGCCCTGACCACGCCATCACGTGTCGCCAGTGGGCATGGCGGGTCCGCCGGCCGGCCTCTCCTGGATGTCGCAGACCATCGGCGACCGGCTCTCTAACACGACGGCGTCCGACACGGAGCTGGCCGGGCCACCGCTGTCGGCGCTGGGCCCGGCTGCTGGCCCCGCCCGGCCGGCCAGCCGCTCCAGTCAGCGTCGGGGCTCCTCGCCGGCGCTGCCCGGTCCGCCCGGCCTGCCGGCGTTCGCGCGGGACGGGCCGGCGCTGTCGGGCCGGCACCGGGACCCGCGCGGCCTGCCGGGACTGCAGCGGGACATACCGGGACTGCGGGCCGGGGAGCCCCACGGGCTGGTCGGCCTCAGCCGCGACTCTCCCGGCCTGCTGGAGCAGCGCCGCCCAACACCGCCCGTCATAGGTAGGGGCCCGTCCAGTGTCCTGCCACAAGCAGGGGGCGCTCTTTGGGTGGGAGCGGTGGTTGTTGGTAACCCGACGTTAATAGATATCGCTCATTGCCAGCATGCATACGCGGCATAACACCAAGCATTATGCGGGCGTTGTAGATGGTGCGTTTGACCGATGTGGTGCTCTTCCTGCCAGACGAGAGCCCCGAGGCGCTTCCAGAGCCGGCGCCTGATGTGTACCCGGGCCGCCTGGCGGACATCCTAGCGAGTTCGCGGTTACCAGTCGCTCCGCTAGATGTCAATGAGGAGTCTGAGTGAGTCGCACGCTTTTCCGTACAATGGCCCAGAGTACGTGACATGTTGGCTTCACTAATCTGCTACACCGCACTCCTTCACACCAATTCTGTCGACGTGAGAACGCCATTACATTATGCTCTAAGCCAAGGTAAGTGGACCGTTTGTTGTTATGTTCTAGAGTTTTGGTTGTTGTGCTTGGATATTTTAATTTTTGGTATTGATGTTAAGTGAATGTGTATTGTCGGATTTAACCTCTAGATAAGCCACTGCCTGGTGTGTTGCTGGCTTGCCTCGGGGAAACCCCGAGTGTCCAGCCGTCACAAACCGCGTCCACACCGGGTCCTCCGTGCATGTCCTTTTTGCTGCTTCGCGTGTGTCTGAAACATGCCTAGACGTGTGAACGCACAGCTCCCACACACGCACACACATAGGCGCCCACACGCTGTCGTCTGTACATAGACCCGCTGCACGGCAATCTCTGTGGCTAACCCGACCCTTCGCTGCTTGTCCAGGCTTGCAAACATCGCACCCAGCTACGTTTAGTGCTGTCTGTAGAGCGCGCCCTCCCAGGACAGACGGGGCAGACGCCGAGGCCGGGTGAGTAACACTTGCTCCCGGCGCTGGGGCCCGACAACAGGCTGTAGTCTGTAACGTAGCAGCAAAGCCCCCTCAACACGCGCCCGGGTGACCGGCTGAATATCCTTCGCTCTGGTAGGGTCAACTTGACCACCCTGAGATCTTAAAAACTTAGCGAAAGCGATGGCTTGTGCGCTTCCTCAAATCGTGTGAAAACAAAGCAGTTCCGGAAGTTCCATGCGCGCATTGCTGGCGGAGGTTGTAGCAAAGCTGGACTATGACGGCTCGCCGTTATGCGCGAGCGAAGGGCCTGCTCAGTTAGCGGTGTTGTCCTGCGTGTTTCAGGAATGAGAGTCTGAACGAGAGTCTGGAGAGCGTGGTGTGACGAGGCTCATCGCTCACAGTGATCTCAGCAAGACCGCGCTCCGAGGGCCCGCCCAGTGACCCAGTGATCTGAACTGTGTCGCCGTCTCTCCCCGGGGTCACTGGACGATGTCACCGCCGCGTGCTCCGTCGCCTCTTGTCAGTGACGCGTTCTGTTCGAACTCCCGCTGTTCCGGTAGGGTCGGTGTCAAATCGCGTGGGACAGAGAGGGTTGTCGCTGTTGTTTGTTACAGGGCGGTCTTGGTTCTTCGTGTCTCATCGTGTGTTTGTATCCTGCTGGGATGTTCCATGTGCTGGTTTTGTTTGTTGGGCTAAACTGTGCGCAATTTGGGTCGCTCTGCGGCGTTCTATGCATTCCATGTGCGAAGTTTACTCAAGCGGCCACGAATAGGGGCCGCCAGACGCTTGCCAGCATCACACAGTCATCTGCATTTTATAGAGGACCAACTGGGCTGCATGTTCTGAAGAATTACCGTTCAGAGCGCTCTGCTCTGGCTGCTGATGCAATGTGCACTGTATATGTGGGGCATATCATTCCATACATCTGATAGGAGGCATACAACTTGTAAATATTTCTTGAAGACGGTTGTTTTGCAAAGTGCAGTTAACACGTGGTTGTTGTCCGGTATGTTGCAGACATCGTCCGCGTTTGTCTAACTTTGGCTTTGACCGGACGTAGACCTCATGCGTGAACAATGACCATGACGATGGCGATGGGTGTTTTCAATTCGTGTATTTATCGCCTACTCAGTGTTCGCATTCCTTTAGCGTTGCTGCCTCGTTGGCATGTGTCGTACCCGTCAAATAAATATTGTCTGCTTGCAATGCAATAATCTCCAGATTTACTCTGTCAGCGGCATGGGAGGGACACAGACAGACACTGTGCGGATGGCAATCGGTACGTCCTGGAATTTTTTTTACTCCGGCAACAAATTTCACCTCGCTGCCCGACCGATGACATCCAAATGGTCAAGTTCACCTTCGGATGGTAACCCGCGTACAGTCTTATAAGAGCGCATTACGCCGTGGCATTGTGCTGATAACAACAAAACGCGGGAAACGAAGACGGTGAAGCGGCATTGAACAAACCATCCAACCAATTTGTTTTGGCCTCTCTTTCCGTGGTTGGCGATCCCGAATGTTGCGCAGCTGTGCTGTATATCAACCCTTCGCCTACCGACGTGAGCGTCTCATCAGCATCCCAGTGCTTCTGCCCGTCACGGCGAGCCCGCCGTGCCGACAGGCCTGCCCGTGCAGCGGCACGACACTGGGCCATCCATCCTGCGATGGTTCAGCCGGCAAGCCTATCGCTGCACATAAATCTCCATCATTATCATGAATCCTGCACAGCCACTGAAGGTTCGGAGGGCAGTGGCTCGTGATAAGTATGCTGACCAGCATGGAAATTAACCTTTGAAAAGTTGCCTGCAGCAGACGTAAGGTATACTTGAAGCGTGTCAGATATGCTTTGGACTGAACATTTTTCGACTATCACTGCGGGTACCACTGCTGAGGTAGTTGGGAGACACGGCACTATGAGTGTTGTGTTTACCAGACTGGTTGTTCTTTGCCTGGTGAATTTATTCCACAAATGGAGAGGTGATATTCAACGGTTTCGAAAATGCCAACGTCAGGCAGGCGCCTCGCGCCAAACGCAGACCCAGGGCCACAAATTGCATTGTCCGCAGGTTTAAACTCATAACGATTTTCTCAAAAATGTATGGTACCAGCCCCAGGATCTCAAAACGTATGATAACAGGTCCCCAAATCTACTTACCCATGTCTTCGAAATATGTGCTCCCATGACTCCGAAATCCACGCTCGCAGAAATCCGAAACATGTACACCATAACCCCGTGAAATTCAGTCATATACCTTCCGCGGCGGGGGTGAGCGAGGCAATGACAGGCGGGAGTGTCATCACCATGGTTATCACACCAAAGCGCAAGCGCATGACTGTGTCCAAAATGCATACGTCAGATAGGTGCCTCGAGCCCAAGTAAATAGGATGGGTGTCTCGCGCTTCGGTGCGCGGTGCAGATTAGCATGTTTGGCACAACGGTTCATGCATATCGCCTGTCGGATAGTGGCTCACAATTGAGCTGGAATGCCGACCTTTTGTTAAATATCAGACAGGTTGTGCACGGGCGCTTGGCACATGTTTCCAAGGAGTTAATTTGTGACAGGATCAAAAATAAATAATGGGCCAGGGCAATGGAAACGGGATGCAGATCTGCAACGGTGGGCCGGTGCCTGTGCCCTTGACCCACCCCATATTCTCTCACATGGCATAATTGTGCGCATCGGAAGCTCTGCTGTATGACTCCAAGCCAGCCAGCGCAACAGCGGCGGCTCCGCAGCAGAGCTTTTGGCGAGCGGTGCATTGCGCCAACCAAGAGCTGCGAGAGTTGTGAGATAAGACTTGTGTTTTGCCAAAGGTCCACCAACGGCTCCCATGGGGTCCCTCCCATATTTTTGTGTGCGCTCTAGTGCCCGCATAAATCTGCGCCAGATTTGCACAATTGAACACCTGTGCGAATACTTTGCAGAGCGGTTCATGACGTAATGAATTAGTTCATGGGGTTATGACGATCACACCGATCAGAGAAAGGATGGTGGAAAATGGACACATGGGACAGAAAGTGAGAAGAGAGTTTTCTCCCCGAAGGCCTTAGCAGTGTTTTGGGAGAATTTTGATAGACGAGGTGTGTATATTGTAATTGCTTACGTTTTTTGGTGATAGCGACGAAAACATTGAGGAAAGTACAATTCGGTTTATGCACATTGCGCATATCGAAACCCACTTTTGCGTACTTTTGCGTAATTATTATCGCAACTTTTTCACTGACTTCTGCTTTCGTTTTAAATGCGTTGCATTTTAATGCAATTCATGTCATATAGCTGAAATTTGACGTCAGTCGAATCCTGTCTTAGTCGAGTGTAGATGTCAAATTGGAACGATTTAAGGCAACGTTGCGAGCCCAGTCAAATACCGCATATTAACATGCCTCAAACTATTATGGTGTAGCTTTTAATAAACGGTGCTAACTTAAAAATTCAGGGCATTGTCATCAGTGGTTGTAAATGTATAAGCTCGACAAGAACGTTTCTGAGCGGGCTGTACTGGACTTCTGACGCTACAGGATGTGCGGTTAGTTGATGTTTGGACTCGCTCGACTCACAAGCCCGCTCGTAATGATGCCAACTCTTACACATGCGACCCCAAGATCCCACAATAAATGATGTTTAATGATCTGAAAATATGCGATCCATGGATCGCGGAACATACTATCCTGGGATCCCGAAATATGGGATCCCATGATATGGGATATATGAGATCCCAAATCCCATCCCGAAATATGGGATCCCAGGTATCGCTTTTCATGATTAAGTCCTGTTGGGGTCATAAAATGTACCGCCCCGGTCCTGGATGCCAAAATCTGTGGCCATGGCGTTGCTAGGTTGCCACAAATCCGATGAAATTTGAGTCATGGCGAACTTACACCGTCCGACATCACGGGCTGTTTGTTCTCGGCGCTCCGGTAAGAGCTTTTGACAGCCTGGTGTGGATTCAGTCAAACATAGGTTCTTTATTACACGATAGATGGCGCAAGACTTCCTTTCCCACCTCGCTTCCTGCCATGCAGGCTTAAAAAACAGCGGAGTATGGTTGTGCACCGCTGCCGCCAGGGGCGCTGTGCCCGCGTCCCTGAGCGTCACTCCGCACGTCCTGTCAGTCTCAATCGAGTCGCGGCCCGGAGAGGTGAATATGCGCGTACTGCTCGCGCTCCTGCTGTGCGCCGGCCCGGCCTGGGCGCGGGACTGCGAGACGGGCTGGTACCGCGCGGCCGAGGGCGAGCCGTGTGCGCCCTGCTCGGTCTGCGCCGCCGACCAGCGCCAGCTGCTCGCCTGCCGGCCGTTCGCCGACACCCTGTGCGAGGGCGCGCGCAACGTCCCCCCGCCGCCTGTCACCGCCGAAGAGGCGCACCGCAACCGGCTGGCCGAGGAGCGCGTGCGGGCCGACCTGCAGCGCGCCACCCAGGAGCTGAACGTGCAGCGCACGCGGCTCGAGACGCTCGTCTACGAGTGGCAGACGGCCGTCTTCGTCGTCTCCATCCTGGTGACGTTCGCGCTGGTGTTCAGCTTCCTGGCGCTGGTGCTGCGCCGTACACGCACCGTTGTGCGGAAAGGTGAGCAACGGCGGGTGATCCTTCCGGGGCTGGCCGGCGGCGGCCCAGGACGCCCATCTGACGGTGAAAGGAGGATCTGTTGCGCGACGCTGCGCGGCCCAGTTACCGCGGCCGCTCGCTCGTTGACGCCGTGGGGAAGCGCTGCCTTTGCTCCTATCGTGCTTATCCGTCCCACTGCGGCGGATCTGGCACTGGAAGCCCTCGGATCAAATCCGCTGTGTGACAAATCCCAGGAGGAACCATCTGTGAACGGTTTCGGGTGCAGGGATATACAATCCGGCACAGAGTGACGGGAGGTTACGGGTGAAGCCTGCTCCGATCCAGGGCTCTTCACTGAGTCTTGACACGCCAGTTGTCCCAAGACTCATAATGTCTCCCTAATGCGCGTAACAGACACGGCCAAAGCCCGAACAATGCCCGGTAACATGACCCAAGGACGACGCCGTGCGTCTTCCCCATGCCCTCATTTCCGGCCAATCTAGCCTATCGGCGCGAGCGCCACCGCATCAGCTGCGGCAGAAATACGTCCCGGACACGAGCTGCAGCGCGTCGCGTCCCGCCCCGTAAATCCGCCTCGCTCCGCAGCCCCTCAGCCTGTTCACCCGACGAACAAACGCGCTACAGGCCCGCAAATCGCTCCGAACAGAGCGCGGCGTTCGTGGACGCCATTTAAACGCCGGATGTGGCGGCGTTCAGCTGCGCCCGCGCGCCGTGCCGGCCGTGACGGGCCCGGAGTGGGTGGCCGACCCAGCTGCTGGCGTGAAAGTGACGCAGGCGGTACGGCGGCGTCACGCACGCGGTCGCTCCGGCCGGACGTCAGCGGCGCCCGGACTCGAGGGAGCCTTCGGGTTCCGGCTCGGCAGTGTGGGAGCGCGGCGGTTACTGAAGGAGAGCGATGTGTAGGAGAGGCGCGTGTGTTTACGGCCTCGGCACGTGTCTGGTCTGACGTGCTCCACATCGTCAGCATTCACATCGCGTGCTTTCACGAAGAGTTTTACGACCGATTGTCCGGTTATGTCTGAAGTAGTTGTGATTGATGACTGTAAGGTCTTCCAAATGTATAAGTTTGATTTATTGTGGTCGCTTTCATTTACGACGCGTCACGAGAAAATTTGATGGGATTAAGGTGTAATCGGTTTATGGCATTTCACCCGAGGCAGCTCTTACATGACCAACGAAGGAAGTGAAGAACCCAACCTTTTACAATGATATTCCCAGATTTTGCCTTGTCTTCCATCTGCTCTTTGTGTAGTGAAGCCCCGCATATCTCGTTCACTTCTCTCCACGTCCATTGAAACGCACTCAGGCCTCTCACGCTATGAGCACTGAGCCTCGCTCACTTGGAGCGAGCAATATTAAACCAGTAAAGCACATCACATACCTTACCGGATGCTGTCATTTGACCAGTGTGATGACGAGAAGAGGACTCATCACTAGGGTGATGGCCAGCGGTCCTCGGCCGCGTTAAACGACGTCTGTCTGTGTTAGCTGCCAAGGGTTTCATCAGGCATGCATCGAATCGAGCTAAAACGGCTCGCTTTATTGGCTTCCGGGGGCGGTCTGAGGCGGTTCAAACGGTTGACTTTCGCTTGAACAGATCAGCCTGAGTCTGGGATCTGCTTCAGTCGTCACAGTTCTCATCACTGCTCCGCTAAACCGGGGCCCGCTTAATTGGAATGTGTAGTGAGAACTGTGGAGGTTTATCGGCTTTGACTGTGCTGCTCCGTGACTGGAGTGGCTGGAGATCAGTGCGGTCAGCTTCAAGTTAGCCCAGTTTTCCCATGGCGCTGTTTATTTGGCCTTAACCGCTGACGCGTGAGAACATTCAGATGCCAGCCTCAGTTACGCGATTCGGACGCCGAAACAAGTGCGTCACCATCTAGTGACGATTCCTTCCCAGACAGCCTGTGGTGGCCCCCCGGCCGCTACGTAAACCTTAGTCTAGGTCCACCCCAGGGATATCATTCCTTAAGCGTGCGCTATGCGCACACTGATCTATAAAACAGTGTTTCACGGAACACGCTGAAGTCTTATCGTTAGAAAAATGAGTGCGAGTTTGTGATGGTGTGTTTTTTAATACTCTTTGAGCAATCTAATGGAAATTTTTGGACATTCAGTTTTGTCTACAAATGACGTTCATCCGCAGCCAAGTGTTCACAACCATAATGGCTGCATAACACTCATGGCGCTACGGAGACGCGCCGACACTATGTTAAGAAGAGAAGGGCATCGGCTGGAGATAGCGTTGGCCAGGCGCTGACCAATAAAGTGGAAAAAGCTACAGCAGTTTCACTTCTGAAGTGAACAATAGGCCGTCGTCTTGAAACAGGATTTCCATAGTCCTGCGGTCGCAGTCGCCTGTTAGTCTGACTTGCAGCCGCTGCAGTGAAAGCTGGGTCGATTCCCGGTTTTTACCAGATATGAAAAAATACTTTCCTGCCGGGAAACGTGCCATTCCGGAGACACTGCAGAATGCCGGGTCTCAAGATTAAGCCGTGAGAACCTACCAAACCGTGCGGAGTACAGCGGGGCCCAGCCGGGGGTGCCTGCGCACGGCCGCGTGCCTGGCGGCGCCTTTGGTTCAAAGCCAACTCTCAGGTCAAGAATTTAGATAACCGAAGTGATAAACATCGCCGTTGTGGCTTCAGGGCGCGATACAATAGATACTCCGCAATGCTATTCGTGATTCGATCCCTGCGGTCGGCGTTTGCAGCGTCGTCAGCGCCGTCAGCGTTTGCAGCTCGCCATGCTAAACGGGACGCTAGGGTATGCTGTCTTGTTTGTTCTCAAGGCCGCGCTACAGCAGGCCCGAGTGTGGCGCCTGGCACCGCGCTCTGATAACGGTTCGCACCGCGCCCTCCCCTCCCCTGCCGGCCCCGCGGTCCACCGGCGCTGTGGGGTGTAACGAGGGGACGGGGCGGTATGGTGGCCCGGGGCCCCGCCGTCAGTCCCCGACCCCACACCGCGGCGGTCGGGGCCCGGACCCCGGTCGGCGGACGCCCCTCCCCTCCCCTGCCGGCCCCGCGGTCCACCGGTGCTGTGGGGTGTGACGAGGGGAGGGGGTGGTATGGCGGCCTGGGGCCCCGTCGTCAGCCCCCGACCCCACACCACCGCGGTCGGGGCCTGGACCCCGGTCAGCGGACGCCCCTTTGTGCCTTCACTGGCTGGGCTTGCGGTCCATAGCTGTACGTCGGCTGGGGCCGGGAAGCACGTTGGCCGCGTGTTGGCCGCGGTCGAGTTGCTGATGTGGGACGGACACACCGCTGGTAGCTGCGCGGTGCCGACACCGCACAGCGGTGCGGTGCGGTGTCGGCACGCTGCGGGCAGCTGCGGTCGTGTGCTAACTCACTGCGATATTCAGCTGAATGGACGACAAGGCTGGCTGAATGCAGCCTTGTTGTGGAACAGCAGACCTATTTGGCACAGCTGTTGCTGCCGTAAGCGCTTGCTGAGGTTCGCCCCGACACGCTGTATGAGCTGATAACTAGCACGCATGTTTCCAGCACAGAAGGCCGCAGATGAGGCACACGCCTTGTGCCGAGACGTCGTCATTAATCTTGATCACCTGGTTAGTTGCATAACGTCCGCCATTGCCGCATTATTGCTTCAGCTGCCGCTGCAAGCCTGTATTGCAGCCTATGACCCGCCATGCGTAGCTCAACACTTCGTTGGCAGCAGCTGCAGCCGCATTGTGCGTGTTTTGTGCTGTTCACGGGCGAGCCGCGGTTATAAAGTTGTGTTACGTCAGCGCTGTCCACTGGCACACCGGCCAGTGCCGTCTCCGGCGTCAACAAAGCCTGCCTTTGTTGCGCCGCCGGGTCGCGATGGTTACAGCCGCACGTGGTGTCGCAACGCCCCGCCCCTCTCGGCCGTGCCGCTGCTCCCCTCCAGCTCTGCGTGACAGGCCGCCGCCGGCCGCTGCGGCCACGGAGCAGCGAGGGACCGCGCCGGCTGCAGCGGCACGGTGGCGGTCGTGCGGCCTTGGCTGTGCGGCAGCGCATCGGGGTCGCGCGTGATGTGCAGTGCGTTGAAGACGTCTCAGTTCGGCGCGGGAGACGCGCTGGCATTGATCCGGCGGACTCGGCGCCGCGGATTGAGCGTCGCGCTCTGACCTGGCGGACGGCGACGCTAAAAACACCTCCCTGTGCAAACGGACACCAAGGGACGCTAACAACCGAGGCACGCGAGCACAGCGGCTCTCGAGCCCCCCTCCTGCCCATTGCTGAGAAGAAATGGTGTGCACTGTTACGGCTCGCAGCTTTGCTGAGCATATGCAACTTTCCCGAGGCGTCACCAGCATGGTGGAACGGCGTGAAGCTCACCAGTGTCGCTCCTCCAGGAACATTTGGGAGGGGAGGGGGAGACGAAGTCGGCCAATCCCGGCGAGTACCGGTTCTGAACCAGGAGGCCTTGACGGCGGACAGCCTGTTGGTCTGATACTGGCGAGAGCTGAGGCGTCTGACGCGACGCCTACATGGCCGATGACGGGAGTGCCGCTGGCACGTGGCCAGAATGATCCTCAAGAAAGTGCCAAAGGTCAACTTTTGTCGTACTCCAGCCGTTTTTCTGAGAAATCCCCCAATGTCTAGCGTAGGACAGTTACCTCAGGAAGGAGCCACGGCCCCATAGTGGTTCTTGGCTGTGTTTCTGAGTTCAGCACATACACATTGGGATGTATCACTACTGAAGGCCTTACGTACGCAGTGGGCTCGGTGCAGAAGGAAGCATCCGCGGTCTTCACCTTACACTGTCCGTCCGCGAGGCCGCACCAAGCGCGCCCCGTTCGGCGTACGTGCCGCTCGCCGTCGCTCGGATTCGGCGACTGGGAAGCCCGGATGTTTGTGCACCGGCCCCCACCGCGGGAGCGGCGCCTCTCGAGACTCGGGCGGGACTCAGCCTTCGCGTTTGATAGTGGCTAGCGCTTACCGCGAGGCTCCCTTCCAGAAACGAGACCACCGCGGGCGCCAGGGCGCGCGGACGGCTTCCCCATCCCGGAGTTC